CGACACTCCCGCTCATCGACGTGACCCCTTAAGTAATTAGTTACAAAATAATTAGTTTGATGAGTGAGGATACTAACCTTTCCGTACCATATCATATGGAAAGTTACACTCACCTTACATAGGTGCCATGGGCAAGTGACATAGTTTTAGCAATCTCAGTTGCTGTGTATCCAGCTTTAAAATAATATCTAATAAGATTTTCCAATGTTTAAGTCGCTTGCTTTCTGCGTGCCAAATGTGTAAAAGTTCCGCAGCAAAAAGCCGTCCACAGAAAAAAGTTGAAAAGTCGAAATAAAGTCGAAAAGTCGAAATATCCAATAGGGGCCACCATATTATGTGGCTTCTTCTTTGCTGAAGGAGATGTCAGTGTCACTAGTGTGTCTCAGATTTTCACTGTAATCAGAGCTATCAAGATGCCAGTTCTTCTTTATAGTGAAATGTCAACAGGCCACTGACCCAACAGTGCTTTGGGCCTAAACTGGCTAGAAAAGCCGGGAGTTAATGACAAAATGGCAGATTTGCTAGTTGCATGAAGGGTTCTGAAGAAGGAATCTCTTTCATTTCTGGTTGGGGATGGGATGGTCATTGTGATGTCTATGGCTGGAGTAGATTGGGTGTCTGGGTGCAACCATTTCTTGTTAGCTGACTGCAGGTCTATTTCTTGCATCCTTTTATAGGGTCGTTCCAGTTAATGACTTGCTGAAGGGTTTGCCCAGTACGCAGGGACATCAGTAACTGTTGTCTCCTTCCTTGTCCATGTCTCTATGGTGAGGAGGAGGGCAGCAATATGACTACAGGTTTCCCCCAAGGCCTGCTATGCATGTACAGTGGGCACAGTCAATCTCCCCATCTTCAGTAACAATCACCCAAGGCTCCAAAAGCTTTTCTCAAATACTCGTGGAATGGTAAACCTGCAACAATGCACGAGAAATACATATTAATGTATTATAAATATAATTATATGAAGAATGAGGCAAAGATGAGGTATAGAAATAGTTGCTGTGAAATGAGGTTTCCATTTTAATTGCAAACTTTGCACTTACACATGAAAGTTAGTTGTGTTTTACTAGAATTTAATTTATACAATGAATGCACATTTTAATACACCGAATAAATAGTTTTAACTAGAGAGCTACCCTTAAGATTAATTGCAATGAGACAAATAGACTATGGTCCAAATGTGGTAATGCCTTCCTTAATACTGTCTGTATCATAATGTAAAGTACAGATAAAAGAAAAGCCATAAATATGGAAAGCCCACATGTAACAAGCATTTTGATATTTTTAATCCACAAAATTTATTCATAATTTATTAGTATATTTAACATATGACCAAATATTTAGATCTAAACAGCAAACATATTACAAATTATGGAAAACTTTTAATGTACAGCCCCTGCAGCAACTGTATTAGTACTGCCATAACAAGCATGTAGATAAAAATTTCAAAGAGGTTATTTTTCTCAAATTGTAGACCTTTAATCATAAAACATCCATGTACCTAAGTCAAACTTGATCCAGCATGGACCTTTTCTAGGCCAAAAAATTACTGCTACAGGTATGCTTACTGAACAGTTCACCATTTTGAAAATGTAAAAAAATGGTCTTCTATGTAGAATTGTATGTCCCTTTGACATAGCAGTCATGATAATATACATGTATCTGGTAAAATTCCTTCGATCATTCTTTTAAGATTTTTTTTTTTTTATTATTCAAAATGCACTTACCCTTGCTTTCATTATATGAAGCCCGTTCGCATCTTTGTGGAAGACATCTTTTACCCAACCATCTTGAAGCTTGTAGGCTTCCAAAGATTTATGGCTTCTAAATTGCTCACGGGTATAGGCAGAGTGCTGATAGATCAAAAAATGATAAATGTCTGTTATGTTCATATCCGGCCATGTCTTCTTGTCCGTGTCAAAGTCTTTCTTTGGTATGGTATAAGGGTCTTTTGTCCACTTCAGCGATCTTCTCATCATACCTCTTTCTGGCATTTTCTGGCAGGCTCTCTCTATAATCCATAGACTTGGCCTTAAGCACAACAACAACAACAGCAACAAATTTAAACAGATATAAAAACAGATGGTTGTTAAAAACATGTTTTATTTCTTCTCTTCTTAAAAGAATTCAGCAGCAGTAGAGTTAAGGCGTTTATGGCTGCTATACCTCTGAGAAATTCACCTCAAGCAAGCTTCATTTCCCCAGGCAACAGCTGGTTTCTTCCTCTCTTCTTTCCACTGAATTGCTGTTCTCTTAATAACAGGTGGTCTCTAACTGAATCTAAATAAAACGTACTTGTTCGTTCTTGGTGAGCCTCTGACCAGTTGCCATGTCAACACAAAAAACCAATTGGCTTGATGTTGTATTCTTTCTTGTTATGGTGTTATCTTTCTTTATTCGGATATTATTTTTCTCCATCCTCCCTTATTTTAATCATGCTCATTTCTCTGAGACTTGTCATTCCAAGTAAGGGGGGGGGTAGCCCATGCTCCTTTTATTTAATTACAACAAATTTTGATTTGGTACCTCTTGTCTTTTTTTCCGATTACTATGTGGAACTCTGCTAAGGCTTCGAGGTCTGATTGTATAGTTTTGAGTCACTCAGATGTGGGTTTAAGTTCTAGTGTTCCCTTTGTCCTTGTTTCTGAAGGCTGTGAACTGGTACCTGTCTATGACATTCATAGCTGCTCCGCTCTCTGCTTCGCATTTGCACCTGATGCCTGCTATATTGATTTCAATTGATTCATTTGTCTGTCCATCATTCACACCGTGTACATGTTTTAAAATATAATCTGAGTCATCAGATTCATCACTGCTCTCATTAACTTCAGTTTTTCTGATCCACTGCTTTGATTGATTCGGTTTCTTGTGTGGGTAACTTGGTTTGATGTTGCCTCAGGGCTGAATCACTGTGCCTTCCATCATATGTGTCTCACCAGTGCTGCTTGGAAGTAATTAAGTCTAGGTGTAAAAAAAACAAAGAGGAGACAACCTGACTGAAATTAGGGAAGAAACATCTGGAGTTTAATTTATAAAAGTCAAGTTCCTTGGAAGCTTACATAACATTGATAATCTCATATCACATAAATCCTTTTATTGTGATCAATAAATTATATTTGCCCTTTAGTATCCTTCATCTGGTTCATTCATTCATTTATTCAATGTATTGTAATGTGTTACAAGAAGAAAAGCCTTTGGGCTTTATAAGACACTTAATGTATACAATTGTTTTTGTCTTATGTATATTTTAACTCAAAATTGAGCAAGCTGTCTGATGGTTATTCCATTAATTTTTCTAAAATCCTTTCATTAGTTCTGTACCTTCACAACACTGAATAACTTGCGTATAACGTACAGGTGTGTTACACATAATTTTAACACTTCTCAAAATAAAACTGTTGAGATCTGTTAGTTTTAAGAAGTAGTTCTGTTTGTAGGTTTGATAGAAGGAACAGGGGTCAAGCTGGAAGTTGCCCATTGTTTGGGACACATCTACACATAATGTGTAAATGAAATTTTTCAAGTAATATTTCAGTAGTGTGTATTATAGATCACACTTAATATATGACATCTTACTGAAGTATTCACTGTGTCTACTTACTGAATTGGAGAGTGATCACTGGCTATTGTTAGGCTCTGTGAGAATATTGTAGAGATCGTTGATTGTAGCACGTCCGATTCGGAGTGGGAGATCTGAGACAATGGATGTGTGACAGGTATGATGTCACAATACTGACGATGACCTGCAGGGGGCGTGCTGTCCCCACCTGGCCTAACTCACTCACCTGTGGTGGCCTATCTTGGCACATGAAGAGCAGACCAGGTGGAGGAAGGAAAAAACTCCGATCACAACATTACCATTATTTAGAGAAGATTGTGTTACATGACCTGTTTTGTTAAATAAGGTGAAAATTAACAGCAATTCATGGAACAAATAAGAACAAACAAATATCAAAAATTATGATTTTAATGATGTAAGCTAAATATATACTCATTTTATGAAGATTGAGCAAGGACAATAAAAAATATTTGTTACAAAACGTTGTTTGAAATTGTTTGAAATGATGTCGACATACATATCTTTTGAAGTCGTATGACGTAATGTCTTGTAGTCTAATGGCTCTTGAGTAATGCGGCAGTCTCTGTGTATAATGCCGAGGTAAAGATATTAATTATACAATTATAGGTAGTTAAAGTTTGTGTCATGGACCATACATGTAGATAAGAAATAAGTATATAAGCGATACCTAGAGATAGAAGGGAGAGACGTTGAAGGAAGCAGCGAAGGAGGAGATTGGAAACGACAGAGTACGGAGCTGACGAGTTAAGAGTTGGAGACTTCATTTATTATATGTAGCTACCGAGCGTCAATGAATAAATAATTTAACTGGTCAATATGTGGACTTGGGTTTTCTTTGCGCGACCTTACGTAAATCTGACACGAACCGTGGAATCTTTGGATTGCATTATCCACTAAGTTAGTCTAAAAGGTAATGTCCTATTTCGAGCCCACGCTTGAATTAAGCGTTCAAAATTATATAAGTTTAAGACATTCATCCCATATGTATATGAAATGGTTCGTTACAATGAGTTATTTTTTTCACTAGTGTGATATTGCACTCTGCTATTATTCTCCTTCTTCGAAAAATTCCCTCTTTTAGAGCTGCCATTAATGGGCATAAATAAAGGGATATGATATCAATATTGCATATTCATAATTCCCTACATTACGTGATGTCAAAATGCAGTTCTGAGTACGCCTCCATAGCAGAGTTTCTTTCACTTTCGATTTATTCAAGATATGACAGAGTTGCATGTTCATTCTAACTAATTGTGTTTCTTGATTCATAATTATAAGAACGACATCATGTTTTGCCTTAGTTGATTCATTCAACAAAATTGATGATAATTTAACATGAGATTTTTTTCTAAGCTTGAGCAGTTTGTCTTGGACAAATAAACTTCCGGTTATCAACTTCCGGTTTAGTTGTATACACGTACTCGTATTCTGCCTCTGCTGAAGTAGACAGTTTTATGAATGCTATAAAAACAACTTACCTAGCGGTCTGTTCCACGACAAATCAGGTGCTGATTAAGTTAGTGTCGAGAAATTTTCATTTATGGCTGTTTTATGTTTTCATTTAGTCGACAGGGCTTAAATTTAAGAGCCCAATGTGTGAAAAATGACAACACAAACTGTCGCTGAGTGATTTTTATGTACAGACACAGATGTGTCTGTACATATTGCCATCACCTGCGTCTGTCGTCGCCGTTCATGTCGCCGTTCATGTCGCCGTCGATGTCGCCGTCGCCGTCGCCGTGCACTTTCAGCGTTAACACCATAAGTGGAAGACAGTTTTACTTTTTGGCTTTATATTTACAGAGCTGATGAATATTCATAAAATGCAGGTCAAGTTCGAAAATCAGCATGATCGGGCCATTATTGTAGAATTTATGCTGTTTTTTCACTTTTCAGCATATATGCAACACTGTTAACACATTTCAAGGAAAACCGATAGGCCTGTTGTCATGAAACTCACAGGAGTAATCAATCTTACTAAAACGCAGGTCAAGTTCGAAAATCAGCATAATCGGGCCATTATTTTATAAGTTATGCTCTTTTTTCACATTTCTTCAGATTCAATTCTTAGGCATGTTAACAGTCTCATTATTTAACTAATAAGATACGTAAAAGTGTTTGTTTGACATTTCCTGCATCTTTACAACATTGTTAGTTGATTATGTAAAAATGATGGTAAACTTGTTATCGTGTATTGTGTAATAAAGTGTCAAAAATGGAAATAAACTCATATTATTGCAGTTTGTAAGATTCAATCATTCATTATGTTCAGAAACTCAGAATGGAGGAAATTGGACATTTGACACTGTTCTATTGATATTTTTCACATCTCATCAACTTTCTTAGTTGATCATATAAAAATGGCAGTAAACTGTTAATTTTGTTTTATGTTAAAAAAGTGTTAAAAATGGAAATAAACGCATTTCATAACAGTACTGTCTTGTTTCACATTTCCTCAGATTCAATTCTTAGGCATGTTAACAGTCTCATTATTTAACTAATAAGATACGTAAAAGTCTTTGTTTAACATTTCCTGCATCTTTACAACATTGTTAGTTGATTATGTAAAAATGATGGTAAGCTTGTTATCATGTATTGTATAATAGAGTTTCAAAAATGGAAATAAACTCTTATCATTGCAGTTTGTCAGATTCATTCATTCATTCACTATGTTCAGAAACTCAGAATGGAGGAAATTGGACATTAAACACTGTTCTATTGATATTTTTCCCATCTCATCAATTTTCTTAGTTGATCATATAAAAATGGCAGTAAAGTGTTAATTTTGTTATATGTTAAAAAATTGTTAAAAATGGAAAAAAATGCATTTCAGGACAGTACTGTCTTGTCTACATTTTGGCATTTTCAAGTTGTGACTTTGAAGTTCCATGGGCCTGAAGACCTTTGCTAGTCACATTTTCTGAATATCCATGATACTAATATTTTATTATTAAAAATTGATGGTTATTATCCTGTTAAACATTATGTAATATTGCATCAAAATTTGAAGAAACCCCTATTTTGGACACTGCTCCCTTGATGACCATTTAAGGAAAACCATGTCACTTACTGTTCTCAAACTTACAGGAAAGAAACATGGGACTAAAATACAGTTTCATTAGGCAGTGCAGTCTATTTGGTAAATTTTTCTGGCAGTTAATCAGTTTTTTGTGAAAATTTAATTTTTCACATATTGGCAATTTCAAGGTGTGACTTAGAACCACCTTGGGCTTGAAGACCCATGCTAGTCACATTTTCTGAAAATCCACGATACGTATACTTTATTATTAAAAACTGATGGTCTTTATGCTGTTAAGCATTATGAAATATTGCATCAAAATAGAAGAAAACACAATTTTGGGTATTGCTGCCATGATGACCATCATGGGAAAACCATATTACTTATGATTGTCAAACTTTTAAAAAAGAAACACAGGACTAAAATGCAGCTCGAGTTGGAAAAGCAGTCTAATTGACTTCTTTTTCTGGAAGTTTTACATTTTCAAAGTGAACTCCCATGGGCCTGAAGCCTTATGCTTGTTACACATTTTACTTACATTGGTATTACCTGTTGAGCATAATTAAAATTTGATGTTGAATTTGCAGTTTAACATAATGTACTTTTACATCAGAATTGACAGTAGCCTATTTTGTTATTTCCTGCTTTTTGTCTGTACATTTGACAGCTTTGCTGCCTTGTTTCCTTTTATTTTAGACTCGGGCAATTTAACTTGAAACTGAAGTTGTAACATTAACAAAGTTAAAGTGATTGTGTTGGCTTCTGATGTTTTTCCACGTCGGCTATAGATGATTTTAGATAATTTAAAACAATCTCATTTTCCATTGACAGCTTTCACAACGTGAATCACAAAAGCTGTTGCTATTTAGGCTTTAGAAATGGCTGATGGAAATGTTGAAAAACAAGGTTATTTAGGAGACCTGATGCAAAAACCAATGGCTCAGCTGAAGGAATTACTGGACAGACAAAACAAAATCTTACAAAACAAGTGAGTTTTATTGAAGTGGTAGATGTTCTGGGGTTGCCATTACTGCAATGACTCCATATTTAATAACACAGTGGCAGGTACTAGTATTGTGTTTAAAATGTCTTACAGTCAGGGATTGAAATATCCTCCCATTCATGTCACATGCATTAATTAATTTATTAATTTCAGTTTTTTTTAAATTATTATTTGTAGTTTAAATTATTTTTGCAGTTTTAATGGAGAGTGTATGGTATGGGATTTTTTTTACTTTTCATACTTGTAACTGTATATGTCAACACCATTTATTTTAATTAAGTGTATTGTCAGTTGCTTTTCCTAATTCCATGATGTCTTGTCAACTTTTCTGTGACTTTCTTTTTCCACAGGAAGTTAATATCATCACTTCCTGACAAAGGTAAAAAGATTTCAGACTTGGCTGACAGACTGAGGAGAGCAATTAAAGAAAAAGAGAAAGTGGATACCACATCAGCGCTGTTTCAGAAGATGCAGTTGGAATCAGATGACGAGGATCAAGTGTCATTTTACAGAAAAATTATAAATAAATCGGACAAGAGAAAGGAAGAAACAGATGACAGGTAAGAAACTACTGTAAATGAAAATATATACAGTTTTTTGTACCATAGGTAATTTACAAGAATTGCATTGTTTTTAGCTATGATGTGTACATATTTATATTTTTATAATAGAAATGCATATAACCTCTTAATTTACATACTTTGTACTGAGTTCACAGTATTCATGTCTGATTTTAGGAAGCCATGTTAATATTAGATATTTCAAGTTGAAGTGGCCCCATCTTTTCTTCTTTATCTAATTACAGGTTGGCACCAAAAGTAGATGTACTTCAAAACTGTGATATATCTAAAGACACTGGCAGTGTTTCTACGGGTAATATTTGTGACAAAAGCAGAGAGAATAAAGATACGATGCATGGCAGTCTAGACAGTGCCTCAGTTACTGACACTTCTAGGAGAAATGCTGAGAAAATGGATGTCATGAGAAATGCTGAGAAAACGGATCTAACAGGAGATACTAAAACAGAAAAGGCTATTAAAAGTAAAGGAAAAAGATATTCACCAGAGGAAGAGTCTGCATTGTTTCCTCCCAAGGCTAAATATGAATGTGCTAAAATGCTGTCAGTGGAAGATTCATGCAAATTGCAAGAAGAACAAAATAAAAGAGTACAGGTTTGTTGAAAATAAAATTTTCTTTTAAAATGTTTGGCCACACCAATTTTGTTATAAACCTTGGTATGTTGAACAAAAAGAGCAGCAGGATTTCTTTCATTTACTGAAGTGTTAGATATCATTGATGGTAGGATTTTTTTCATTTACTTTAAGTGTCAGATATCAATAGTGATAGTGCATCATCATGTTTTTTGACAATGTGTGTGTGGACTCTGTAAGTGGCATGTTTGACCTTATATTATCTGTTCAACAGGAAATCCAGGTTCAGCATATAGCAGCAAGACTTGCACAAAGGTTGAACATCAAAATGGAACCTCATCTCCCAGAGCGGTCTACTGTGGTGTATCCTTGGAAATAATACTTATGATATCATCAGTAATGTCAGATGTTTTGAATCAGATTAATGTAATTATTTCAATACATTTATTCTTTTTTTTTTTTTTTTTGGGGGGGGGGGTTAGAGAAGGGAGTTGCGGTGAGNTTTTTTGTTGTGGGGGGGGGGGGGGAGGGGGGTGAAGGGGATGCAAACTCTGTAGTTAAAAGGAGGAAAAGTCGAAATGTTTTGTTGTCATTTCATTGTGCTGAAATTATTCCTTAACCCATCTTTAGATATGATGACAGCAGAGACGCCAAAGTTCCCTCTATATCAGATGACAGCGGGGATGAACCAGATTATCCTGATTAATTGTCAGTGCAGCTAAACTAACTGCAGACAGCTTCACTCTTTACACAGTAAACTTTTTTATCTGGAGATGGGAAGCAGCATATATCTTCACCAGTTTTTTCTATGCCAGATATAGACAGTGGAAACATATTCATTACATAATGCTCACAGGGAATAATTTATTTTAAGGACTGAGAAGACTGTTTTCGTCATTAATAAATCTCATGGATGATATTTGTTATAACTTATATGATATGAAAACTTCATTTAAGGTTGTAAATGAACCCATTTGGTGCAGTTTTGATGCAGAAATAATGCAACCCACTTCATGATTACTTACCAACTAGCCATAAACTGCATAAAGGAATCAGAGAGCGCATTCAAAATAGAGGAATTACCACTTAAATGATCCCCAAACCAAATATGGCTGACCCCACTTAAAAAGCAATGCTGCCAATTGGTTTTCATCATTAATAAATCTCTTGGATGATATTTGCATTTATTATATGGCATGAAAAATTCATGTATCCATTGGTCCAATTTCGCTGGAGAAATAATGCAACTTTCTTCCTGATTACTTATCAGCTAGCCACAAACTGCACAAAGGAATCATAAAAGGTGGTCAAGTTGAAGTAAAAATAAAAGTTGAGGGTCATTTTATTTTTTATTTTAATTACAGTGCATCTTAATGCACATTGAAAATTACAACACAAACAATGTAAAAATAACAGATAATACATTAAAAATAATATTTTCATTACACCTACCCAAGAGGACAAGCAACAGATGATATGAAATGATAAGAATTTAAACTCAAAATGTTTACGTTTATAAGGCCACACTTTCAACAGATGCAATGTACCACATATGGATGAGAAGACACATAAGGGTATGTAAACTGTATAATTTCTAGGATAACAGCTGATGGAAAGATTGGTACCAGTTTCAAAATAATGCTCTGGTATTAATTAAATGGCGATCTTTCAATTATGCCAACCTAAGTTTTTAAGCTGACAATACTGTAACAGTAAAAACAGTCAACAGATAACAAAAATAAACTGCAGAATAAAAGAGAAAAATAAAACCCCTTGAAAAAAGGTTCGTGTGGGTCTTATTCTTTTTGGTAATGACTTCAAAATAAATATTACTAGGCTCTACAGCTGTTAGGATGAACTCCTTGTTAGGATCAGGCCTTCAAAAGTGGGATGGGCCAATCCATAGCTGTCAGAAATTCTTTAAGTGCTGCCAAAGACACGGGTGGCAAATAGTTGCCAAAACGTTTTCTCTTCCACCATGCTCCGCTTAGCGCATCCTTGCTGCCTAGTTTTGTATACCTGTACCTGTAGTGTTCTGCACGAATAAACCTGAAAATAAAAGTGATCAGCGTCCATATCAACCAAAATGGCGACCAAGGCCCCATTCAGAAAAGGGGATTAACTAGTCCAAGGGTCAAATATGGCCGACCCACTTGCATGCTTCCCCATGGGATATCTATTCAGTGTCTACTAGCGGATTAGACGGCAAGCTTTTAGTGGGTCGCCATATTTTATCCTCGAACTAGGTAGTCCCCTATTCTGAATGGGGCCTAAAAATTCATTTTTAGTTGATTTTAATGGCCATTGCACAAGTACTATTTATGTGGTTATGAATAACTTAAGTAATGTTTTCTTTCAAATGCTTGATACTCCCAAGTTCACCCACTTAAATAAAATGATGCTTACTTTGGCGGCGCTTTGCCCAGAAAGGGGTTGTGTGCAATAAGTGAGGAAGCTCCCTCATCATTCACCAGAAGCTGGGCTGCCAAGTGTACCAACCATGGGTTATGTTGATAGTTCTGAAAGGAGGAAAAACAGATTAAAACACAAACATTTACAAAGTTATAACATTTAATCAAAAATAAGCAGTATTTATTTTCAAAAGTTAAATGAGATTCAGAGTTATAAATAGGAGACTGTATGAAACCTGTGGCATTCACCAAAAGATTGAAACAAAAACATTTTATTAGAAATAAGAAGGTAAAGGGATATATTTACAAAAGCTAAATGGGATGCAGAGTTTTAAAAGTGAGAAAAGTAAATAAAACGAGATATTTCACTGACAATATGGTATAAACAAATAGTATAAATCACAAAATTTCCAGAGTAAGTAGATATATGTATTGATAAAAAAAGATTCAGAGTTCTAAGAAACTTACTGACAATGAGATATAAACCAACCTGGAAAGCAGCAAACCACATAAGCCAGTCCAGTCTGTAGTGATATGGAGATATTAAACATGGCCTCCTGTATACATCACCTGGTTTACACTTGAACTCATACTCCAGCCACTTAGCGCTTGGATCTTGTGGGTTATCATATGTACCCTGGATGATCACCTCTGTCCTGTCTTTGGTTATGCTACATAAAGAAAAGTAGATTTAAATGCATTAGAATCACTTTTGAATGATTGCTCTTTTCACTGCTGAACCAATTTGCAAAATTATTTTCTTAATAAGTTTTTAACTTTTATACAACCGCGTCATTAAAGCAATAATAACTCTTCCTTTGAGATTCAAAATTCCGCATGAAATACATTGTAAACAACACATGGAAATATATTCTATTGTATTTTACCACTAAAACGGCCGTTATTGTAGTAAAACTAAAATCTGTGCTTGTAAATGGGGCTTTCGATGCTTTTCTTCCCAGTCATCAAGGCATTCGTTGCTAATGACGTAATGGTGTCACGCGGATTCTCTCGTTCATTTGAGACCAAAATAACATGGCGCCAAACGCATTAATGCGGACGCAAACGTAAGTTGCGAGTTTTTGTACAGTGCGTCGGATAACGAAACGCCCAGAATGGCACACATTGTGGATATAAATGCATTTTAAACAAAAAGACGAATATATCTCATGAATCTTATATAGTGTTGTTGTTGTCTGCTTTTCCCGCGGTTTTAAGTAGGTCACCAGTGACTTTGCAATGTCAGAGAGAGCTCCGTCAGTTAAAATCTCTTAAGAGATTTTAACAAAAAAACGTACGTTTAGGAAAAAAACCCTGGATTACTGTAACTTTGAATGCAGGAATGGGGTCGTTGACCATTGGTAAGTACAGGAAAATTGCCGTTTTTTCCAGGAAAATCCAATTTTTGGCCAAAACGAAGAGTTATTATGACTTTAAATGACTATAGAAACATATCTGCATTTCACTTAAAATAGTTTGCTACAAAAAAACATGATAATTCTTTTTTTTTTATTTTTTTTGTCCAGATAACCATACCTTCCAAATGCACCATAGGTGTTCAGTATTCTCAAAGGTTCAAATGAAGTATTCATGGCTTGTCTTGACGAGAGAAGATTCTGGACCACAGGAACGCTGAGATAGGCCAGAAGTATTGCCAGCGTTACATTCATCATTTTCCTGATGTACTGGGCTGAAAACATTATACACACATAAATACATGCAAGTTTTAAAAACAGTATGAATATTTGGCAAACATCTGTTATAATAACTACTGTACCTAAAGAAATATCATAAAATGGAAAGAAAAAAGACTGTTTTGCTGAATTTATTCTGTCAATATTTCATTGTTTAGGAAATTGTTTGGCAAACATCTGTGATAATAACTACTGTACCTAAAGAAATATCATAAAATGGAAAGAAAAAAGACTGTTTTGCTGAATTTATTCTGTAAATATTTCATTGTTTAGGAAATTAGTTCAATTTCTCATCTAAGCTGCGCATAAGGCCCCATCGTACTTCTCGATTCCCTTGGTTTGTTTCCAGTTTGCTCTTCCTGTTGTATCTGCCACACTTGCCACTTCACAGAGTTCCTTTTATTGGAAAACATCCAAGACAAGCTTGCATCATCAAAACAGCAGATGCTGGGAAGTATAGTCAGCCAGTTCAAGAAGCTTAAATTTCCACTGATGATTAGGATCACCTACAATGACATTTCGTACTAAATAAAAACAGAGGTAAAAGTTAAAAGAAAACTACATGCTATTTGAACTTAATTTTGTTAAAACGTGTGTATGCTTGGTGCTTGTGAGCATGAACATACGTGTATGCCATTTCCAAATTTAATTTCCAAAAACAGGTGAATTAGATTGTATTTAGCAATGTTCAAAAAAAATTAAATTGTCTTAGCACTGCCATCATAACTATGAGTGATACCTGAAATAAAACTTGCAAAAATCCTCCAATTAGCCTGAGCCTTCTGAACAGCCAATAGTTGCCAGGCAACAAAACAAGAGGTGGAGCCACCAGTTCTATGAAGTGATTGGACAGAGTTTCAAACTTATGGAATACTTCTGGAGATTGATGCAAGTAATAGCTGATTGGATTAGGCACTGGTTGTGTCTGCAATAGGAATATAAATAAATTTAATATATTAAATAAAAATATTGCAAGTTTTATTAGGTATAATGTGTGTGTGTGGGGGGGGGGTATGTGTGGCTGGCTTAGAACAAAGGTGTTATATCAATATCAATAATTGCAAGTAATGCTTAGAACTTCTGCCTAATACATAATTACATTATATTTATATGAGCCAGCTCCAATGAAACTATTACAACAATATTTTTAACTTCACGCAACTTCATTATGTCACAGATATAACATGTCCATTACCTCATAGTGATAATTCATACAAGTCAAATCTCTCCAACACTGGTCTCCTCGGATTTTGATAAGACCCTGAAACAGGAAGAAAATATGCAACTTTTTTGCAAATATTCAATATATATTTCAAAATTCTTTAAATAACAAAAACATATTTGATACTATCTTTGAAAAAAAATTTAACTTTGAAAACAATTAGGCTTTTTAGGCTTTTTTTCCTAAACAGAAGATCACTAACATAAATACCAAGAGATGTTATGTGACTATGTCAACAAAAATTTTTTTGTTTTGTTTTTTTGGGGTGTTTTCAGTGGATTACGAGTATGTATGTAAGAAATTGATTGCCATCCTCTTGCAAAATATATGACTGGAACATCTCTTAAAGGATCTTGAAGTATTTTGGCATATATTGATCAGGTGATAGTGTATTATCTCTACATGTAACTTACTGCCCCAAGCATTATCCTGAAGATGAGCCACCTGTAGCCCCAGATGACTGCCCAAGATGGCGGAGTTTTTCTGGGCACAGGACGCAAGGAGAGAAGAGGACAGAAAAATATTGCCAGGAACCCACTCTCCAGGAGCTGAGATTCCCATCCTGAAAATTTCATCATGTAACATTGGCAAAAAGAAAGTTGAATTACAGTTTAATAAATGAAATTTTGAAAATATTCCCCTCAAAATCTTTCCAAATAGGTTTTTGACTTATATACAGTTTTTATACTGCAACAAAACTAAATAGTTTACTTTTTGTATAATTCCCATTACAACTCATTAACATTGAGGAAAACATATATATATATCTGATAACTTGCTCTTTATCTGATATCTGCTTTTATTAAAAATATAATTTACTTGTTTCACTTACCAAAGGAATACCTGAAGAGAAAAGAGGAGGAGATATCTTAGTTAGACTCTCAACTCCAAAATAAAATTCATACAATGATTTAACTTCATAATTTAACTTCTTCAGGTTTTCCTAAACATGTATATTTCTATCATTTCATTTTTTTTTTTACTTCTCACCTTGTGATACAAGATCACAACAAACAATAAGTTAATCTATTTACTGGTATAACTTCTTCAACTCTTCAGCAACGGTAATAAATAAGAATGAACTGTCAGAGAAAGAGAACCCCCTATATCACCCTCAGTGTTGTTTATACTGACCATCTCTGGCCCACATTGACCAGGGAGTGATAGAGCACCCAGAGTACAGACATCATCAGCATGTTGGCTGAGCCCAGTACAACCAGCAGTAGAGATAACATCAGTCCACACAGGGATATAGCAGTCAGATACAGGTCCATGTGATCCTCATAGTTCACAAACCACAGCAGAGTGGGGGCGTAGTTCAGGGACTGGAACAGAGACCCTCCTGTGTGAGACCATATCTTCTTCAGGTGGTTTGCTGCAGGAAGAAGTCCTTTCTGGCCAATTAGTTGAATGTTTTGATGATATCCAACTAAAAAAGCCACAGCTGAAATAAATATATAAATTAATTTATTGGTAAGTACCAGTAGAATTTTTTTTAAAAATAAGGCTGATATGACTTGTGCATAACACTGATAATTATGGTGACATATTTCCTACAACACAGAGAATAAAAAAGTCAGAACACAAAATAAGTCTGGACTTAATCTAAATCAAGTCAATTATTAAATATTAATCTGTCATAATAAAATTGTTGCTTAGTAATGTAAGGTAATGTACAATGTAGATGAAGAAAACTTCAGTAATCGGTGAAATATAGGCTATAAAGTCATAAAAAGGCATGTGCAAATACAAATAAATTACGACACCAACCTCTTTAGGAGAAATTAATCAGACTAATTAAAGTACCACGCACCTGTCAGTGTCTTTGACTTACCATAAATAAAGCCCAGGAATCTCAAGAAGAAAATGCGAGTCAGCCAATAACTTCCAGCTTCAAGCTGAAGTGTTATTTTCATATCTGATAACTCTTTTTTCACGTTGCAACTTTCCTGGACGCTGTCTGTCGTGTCACCGTGGTCGCTTTCATCTTGCTGCTGAACCTTGCGCCGCCTCACTGTTGTTGCAGACATGGCACACGCGGATGCCCTTTGACCTGGCTTGCAGTGCGCCTGCGTGACAGGAAGTGAAAATGGCGAGTCCACATGGCCCAAACATTTTGCTTACAGGTATGTTTCGGCCACATTTCTTTGATGAGAAAAACTCTTTATTTGTTGTAATCAATGGAGAACACATAAGAACCATGTGCGACCATTTGTAAAGTGTATATCATTTTCTAAAAACGCAGAAATTAGAAAAGAAAGGACTTGACCTACGCACTGCATACTCTATATAAAATCTTTCAAACTCCATGTTTTTGACTCAGTTTTCTGCTTTACATGCTCCGCTTACATTACATGCTTACCTGGTGAGTGCCTAGCTAGTAAACTGGGGCAAGGATACTCTCAGAAAGAACGCGACGTTATCAGCTACGACTGTCTTAGAACACACGTACGTGTTCAATTTTGTACTATACACATTGTTGTCTTACAAGCTACATGTACACTATATAACTCTGTAACAAACATTGAACCACTATGTGCAACAGCATAATCAAACAGCGAGGTTGTGTCTTTGTTTCTGAAAATAATAGCACATTTTCACATTACCTCAGGCACCCCAGGGACAGGCAAGTCCACTCTAGGAAGAGAGTTAGCTCAGAGAGCCTGCCTAAACTATGTTAACATTGGGGAGATGGCTAAAGAGAGGGAGCTCTATGACGGCTGGGATGACGAATACGAGTGTCATGTCCTGAATGAGGACAGGGTAAGGATTCAGTTGTCTCCTGTGACAATGTCATGTGGAGATATATATTCAAGTATGTAATTTACATGTTCAGAATGCATCTATAAAAACATAGTCCAATTGGAATGACTTAGTGTCAAACCATGCAAGAGTTTGCAGGATTTACAGGGTCAGACTATATAAGGCAATGAAGAAAACTGATAGAATTTAGCCACATATACTGGTTGTTTCTTATTAGTTCTGTGGAATGAAACTGTTGTACAACTTAACAAATTCTTCATATTTTGAGAATCACTTTTATATTACTTTCTAAGATGACACTTGCAGTACACAGCATTTCACTATAAAGTTAACCCTACCACACAAATTCTCACAGATTGTCTTGTCTCTCGTGGTGTTACATAGTGCAGACACTCTATCAGGCTGTCCTAGATCACGGCATCCATTGTTGACTGCTAATTAGATATCTATCTTTTCCTACCAGGTTGTGGATGAACTTGAAGATCAGATGCAGCAGGGTGGAAATGTTGTTGACTATCATGGCTGTGATTTCTTCCCAGAGCGCTGGTTTGATATTGTCTTTGTACTGAGGACAGATAATTCCGTCCTCTACGAGAGACTAGAGCACAGGTAGGTACCTGACAATTGGTGTTTGTATTGAGAACTGAGAATTCTGTCCTTTATGAGAGACTAGAGCACAGGTAGGTATCTGACAATTGGTGTTTGTATTGAGAACTGAGAACTCTGTCCTGTATGAGAGACTGGAGCACAGATAGGTACCCGACAATATTGTTAATTGTAGAAACTGTTTTAGGATGTTTATCACAATTATTTCAAGACATATTTATTCTGGTAATTATCTTTTGTTTTATTAAATAGTTCCTGTTTTTAATTTGTGAAGGTAATTCTAGGAATTATTATTATTATTATTATTGTTATTATTATTATTAATTTGTAGAATATGTAAACCTGGAGTTTGTTTTTTATTTTGTTTGGTTGTCATCTAGTGTTGTCTGTATTTTTTATTAAAAAATTACTTGCTATTTTTTTCAGGGGATACACTGGGAAAAAGTTGCAGGAAAATGTACAGTGTGAAATATTTCAGACAATTTTAGATGAAGCCAGGGAGGCCTATAAAATAGAAATAGTTCATGAACTTCCAAGTAACACACCTGAAGATATGGAAGAAAATATTGAAAGGATTCTTTTGTGGTTAGAACAGTGGAAATTAACGCATTAAAATATGATGTGTAAAGGTTTAGCGTAGTTCAAAAAGAGTAAGAACCACCTTTTGTATGCCTGCCCCCTATTGAGGGGTTTGGCAACCGCTTGTGCACTTTAGCATAACTAAAGCATAACTGAAGAAACTGTGCAGCCAACAGGGCATTGGAAACTGTGCAGCCAACAGGACATTTGAAACTGTACAGCCAACAGGACATTGGAAACTGTATGCAGCCAACAGGACATTGGAAACAGCCAACAGGGCATTGGAAACTGTGTGCAGCCAACAGGACATTGGAAACTGTACAGCCAACAGGGCATTGGAAACTGTGTGCAGCCAACAGAACATTTGAAACTGTGTGCAGCCAACAGGACATTGGAAACTGTGCAGCCAACAGGACATTGGAAACTGTGTGCAGCCAACGTGGCATTGGAAACTGTGTACAGCCAACTGGACATTGGAAACTGTGTACAGCCAACAGGACATTGGAAACTGTGCAGCCAACATGGCATTGGAAACTGTGTACAGCCAACAGGATATTGGAAACTGTATACAGTCAACAGGTCATTGGAAACTGTGTACAGCCAACAGGACATTGGAAACTGTGTACAGCCAACAGGACATTTGAAACTGTGCACAGCCAACAGGACATTTGAAACTGTGTACAGCCAACAGGACATTGGAAACTGTGTACAGCCAACAGGACATTGGAAACTGTGTACAGCCAACAGGATATTGGAAACTGTACAGCCAACAGGACATTTGAAACTGTGTACAGCCAACAGGACATTGGAAACTGTGTACAGCCAACATGGCAATTGAGCAATGCCAATTTCTCTGTTGTTAATATTTTTAAGCAGCTTTAAACCCATTTGCATATGAAGACTAACGTTTAAGCTTGTTATTTATTTTTATTTTCTCCGAGTCTGCACATTAAGGATTTTCCATATTTTTAGTACTGCATTTTTTCCAAAATTGTTTTCACATTAATTCTTGGAGTTGGGTTGCAATAACATATAGGTTTATGTTAATTGACGACATTTTTATGAAGAGTATTACTTTATTACTTGGACAATATTGAATATATTTCAATAAAGATGCATCGTATGTGAGTTAATTAGATACAACAAATGATTGCCTGTGAGTATATCTGATTCAGTACAATTTCTACAATAGGCTGCTAGATATATTTTATGCTGGCAAGGTTGTTTGGTGTATTAAACGGTTTTGTGTGTGTGTGTGTGTTTATCATATGAGGATACTAGGTCTTTGTATCTTTTTGTGCAATACCATAAAGGATGACTATTGTGTATTTGTTCATCTTGAAATTGCTTTCTTCGGTTGTATGACAAATGTAAGACCCTTCTAAGCCAGGATTTTCCTGCCAACAACTCATTCAACATACCAGCCTTTAATATTTCAAAAGTTTTATTCATTTATTTATTTTATTATTTTTTATTTATTTATTTATTTTATTTTTTATTATTTTTTATTTTATTATTATTATTTATTTTATTTTATTCTATTTTATTTTATTTATTTATTTTTTATTTTTATTTATTTTTATTTTTTTATTAAATTTTATTTATTTATTTATTTTTTTTTATTTATTTATTTTTTTTTTTTTTGAGATATTGATTTAATGATGTTTAAAAGGGGTTTTTTTTTCGTTCGAGAGTAAGTTCAATAGGAAGCAATTCATGCTCTTAGAATGCGTTCAAAATCCTGGCTTGGATCACTTTAAGAAAGACGTTCGTACAACATTATAAACACTTAAATTATTTAATTTTCTACTGTGGATTCTCTAACTGCGCGTAACACGGTCTTTGCCGATCACTTTTCACCATGTCGTCATACTGAAGCACCCGCAAACCACACGAGAGGGTAAAAAACCATTTAACAATCTCAGGTATCCTTTGTTTCTTTAGCGCCCTACTACATACATCTATGGACATATTGCACATTCTAGTTCTATAAAAGCAGTCCCTCCTCCTTTCAAATGTTTTTAAATTGTATACACTTGGAACATTATGCTGATATAGTCGTGCTAAGTAATTTTTCTAACAGGTTGACTGGAGCAGTTAATAACATCATCAGAAGCATACGGTTTTCCTTTTCGTCGTAAGATTCTCACGTTGCTGGGACTGCCACATATTTTAACATATTCAAGAGCTCGTTTGAAAAGAAGTACTTCGTCATGAAACTCAGCAGGTTGTTTGTTAATGAGACCAAGCAACTTCTCTTTGAAATGTCTATACACGGCATAGTCGGCTTTACTCCACTTCTGGTGCGCTGAAATAAGTTTTTGGTCCTTGTTTCCCTTAAAAGGGTAGTTATTGCCTTCCATGGGAGTATAGAGAATGTCTTCCATTTCCCAACAGAGCATGCGACGGAGAAGTATTAGACTCTGGTCTAGAAATTCAACCAGCATAACTAAGCCAAACCTCTGCTCCAAGTATTTGATGTAAGCTTGGATAACCAGATCGTCATTCCGGACGTCTTCTGTCTCGTCTGGAAACCCCAACTCCATCATCATGCCGTTGCGCGAAAAGGCAGAGGTTCGGACTGAACCATTGCGCCAGTATTTGTACGGATTTTCAAGAAATTGCTCAAGTTCTATGGCTGTGTCATTTCCTGGGGCGTATTTTTGCAGCAAGTTGTACTTATTCAAAACTGATTTGAATTGAGCCCAAGGGTATCTCAACATTGTGACGTAGAAGGTGTCACGTGGCATAACTCGGCTTACGATGTCACCGTCGAAAACCATGTGGTGGTACATGACGTCAAATCTCTGCTGCGGTCGATCAATTCGAACAAATCTTTGTTTAATTTTGGCAGGTCTTGGTATTAAAGCTACGTTTTCGTCCCCATAAAAATGCATACGGAACCTTGGCAGTGCTCGGGCCAAAGAATATTTGAGGGCAAATCGTCGCATGACGTCAAAGAACATGGTCGACCCCGTTTCAGAAATTTTAACATAAACAACATGCTTGTACACAGTACAGTTCGGTTTGGGTTTGTCCATGACCGGAACCCTGGATCTGGACATGACAGCTTTTGTTAAATTATATATGCTTCGCAAAACGGTGGTCCTTGCCTGCACATTGGTCGCTGGTCCTGACT